AGGAGAGCGGGGGAGAGGGTGGGCTGCTGGAAGGAAGAATGGTTCCTTGTTTCATGCGGAGGTCTTAGTCAGCACTGACTAACAGAGCAGTTGAGTACAGAGACGTTCAGGGATGGAGACCAGCTGGAGGCTGCAGCCAAAATGAGAGAGATCCAAAAGCCACAAACGTCTACAGAGAATGATGTTCGTGGCATGAATCTGTATTCAGAACTTACCCAAATTATTCCTTCCTAAAATTCTCATATCAAGTACAAACAGGAAATAACCTCTGACAGAATGTGTATCGATAACATTATCAAATGCTATGACATTATTTCTCATTGTGTTTTTGTCAGGTACAACACCAGACCTGGTCATGAGACTTTTCTGTGCATGTAAGTGGACCGCTATGAACATTAAAGGGAATTCATCATCATTTCCTCACCCTCATGTTGTTCCAAACCCATAAGACTTTTGTTAACCTTTGAAACACAAACTAAGATCTTTTTTATGAAACCTGAGAGTTTTCTGTTACTTCACTGAAAGGCCAAGTAACCAAAACTTAGAAGATCCAAAAAGGTACTAATGGCTTTGTAAAGCAAATCCATAGAAATCAAGCCATTTAATCCAAGTCTTGTTAATATATACGATCACTTTATGTGCTTATTTATATTTAAACAATCTGAAAAATAATCAATTTAATTTGTGTTTCGAAGATTAACCTTTAACAAAGTCTTATGGGATTCGAATGACATGAGATAGATTAAATGAGTACAGAATTTTAATTTTTGGGAGAACTATTCCCTTTACTCCAGCATCAAACATGAACATAAAGTGTATTTCTCTACATATCTATCTCACCTGTAAGTCTGTCTTCATGAGAGATGCTCCCGCCTCCACTAGGTAATGACAGATTGTCCTCTGACACAATGAGGCCGCTTTGTGCAATACCGTCTCTCCACTGAATAAGATTGAAAGAGAGACAGACAGGAAGCAAGAGATAAAGAGAGAGGGATAAATAGAGAGGAAGGAGGCAGAAAACACAAGACAAGACAAGTTTGGAGGCTGTTAAAAAGTCTGACTATCTGAATACCTGACTACAGTATCATAAAATAGAACTTGAACTTTTACTGTCAAAAGATAAAAATAACAAGTGGCATCAGTGTGCATTCAGCAAGACACTCACTTTTCTCTCTCTGTTACATCCAGGATATCGGTGGGTGCTGTGGA